TCTGGTCCTTTGGTGCCACTGGGATTTGATGAAAACCTGAATATCCATCGAGGCAACAGTAGTGAGATTTTCCTGCTAACCGTTCCAACATTTGGTCGACGAAGGGGAGTGGAAAATGATCTTTTCTGGTAGAAGAGTTCAACCTTCTATAGTCGATACATACTCGCCATCCATTTTGGACTCGAGTAGGCACCGACTCACCTTCAATGTTTCTAACCACAGTCAAACCCGTCTTTTTAGGCACTACCTGAACGGGACTTACCCATTGGCTATCAGATATTGAATAAATAATACTTGCATCAAGAAATTTGAGAATCTCCTTTTTCACTACCTCCATCATCGGTGGGTTGAAGGCGACGCTGGGCTTCTCTAAAAGGCTTGTAGTCGTCCTCCAATAAGATCTTGTGCTTACAAATCGAGGGGCTCAACCCTTTGATATCGGCTATCGTCCAACCAATCGCCTCCTTGTGCTCCTCAAGCACACTCACCAACCTTTGTTCTTCATCGGTTGATAGCTCAGTAGAAATGATCACTGGTAAAGTGTTGTCTAGGCCTAGAAAGGCATACTTCAAATGGCTCGGTAATTTCCTCAACTCAAATACAGGGGCCTGGACAATCGAAGGGAACAACTTTGCGTAAGAAAACAATTTAACATTTGATACCTCAAACTTCTTGTGCTGGTCAGATTCCATAGCTGAGACCGTCTCCTTGAGCTCAGGCCCCAACTCATATTATTTCATCAATAGATTAATTATTTTTGCATCTAGGTGCCTTATGATTGCAATCTACAACAAATCACAATTAGTCAAATCATAATAAGTCATGAGTAATAGGAGCCAAAACATCAACAAAATTAACAGAGGACACATCACTAGGATATCTTATGGCATCATATATGTTAAACTTGATTATCTAACCATCAAAGTCCATAGTTAATGTACCATCATGAACATGAATCTTAGTCTTTGGTGTTTTCAAAAATGGTCTTCCCAATAATATCAAAGGTGATTTGGAGGTATTATGTTCCTCCATATCTATGACATAAAAATCGACCGGGAAGACCAACTCATTGACTTGAACTAATACATCCTCAAGGACTCCCTTGGGATACACATTGGACCTATCGGCGAGTTGTATAACAACTCTCGTTCTCTTAAGAGGTCCCACATTCAGTGATGAGTAAATTGAGTAAGGAATAACGTTTATAGACACCCCTAGATCTAGCATGGCTTTATCAATCAAAACATTTTCTAATTTACAAGGAATAGTAAACATACCTAGGTCCTTGCACTTAGGGGGCATCTTGTCTCCTTAAAGGACGGTGGAGACGTTCTCGCCCATGCTCACCTTCTCATTCCCAATCAACTTCCTCTTGCTTGTACACAATTCCTTCAAAAACTTGGCATATCGAAGTACTCTTTTAATAGCATCTAGAAGTGGAATATTTACCTCAACTCGACGAAAAGTTTCCATGATCTCCTTATCTTCTTGATCCTTTTTTGATTGCTGAAATCTCTTCGGAAACGGTGGTTGGATGATCACTTCGGGTGTTGCACCTTTGTCTAGAACAATCTTTCCTTCAACTTTCTCCTCACTTGGTTTGGCCCCCACAATCTCGGACTCTTTTTCTTCTTTCCTCTCGCTCTTTTTCACCTTGGGATCGGGATTTGGTACCATCCTATTTCTCAAAGTAATATCACTAACATTAGCTTTCAGGTTAGTCTCAGTTTGGGATGGTAACTTACCTTGATTCTCAATGCGATTAAGCAAAATCACCATTTGTTCGATTTGAGACTCAAAATTCTTGTGTTGGGCCGCTAGATTTTGATTTTGGGCCACCAAGTTTTGGATGTTTGCCCTTGTTTCCTGTTGAAATTGTTGAGTGTTAGTAGCAAAAGATTTAACAATATCTTCCAAAGACATACTTGAACTGCTTGAAGCTTGGTTGTTAAGCGAAAATTGGGCCTTTTGTTGGAAAGGTTGTTGGAATTGCCTTTGTAGTAACTACTGAGGAGGTCTTTGAGCTCCCAAATTTGAATTGTAGAACCTTTGATGGGGTTGTTGGACCTGAAAGCCTCCAATAGCATTAACATCATCAGGTGTAACCAGGACATCTTCTTGCAATTGTGGACAAGCGTCTGTTGGATGGTTCACCTCCTTGCAGATGCCACATGCCTTTACATGTTCTTTTCCCACCACCAACAACTTAACAAGGTTAGTCAAATCATATAGTTTACTTTCAACAATAGCGACATTTACCTCATTTGCCCTTTAGGGCTCTCTCCTCATATCACCTCGAACACTAAAATGCTGAGAATGCTAAACCATAGTGGTGGTTAAGGCCCTTACTTGAGTTGGGGTTTTATTGAAGATTACCCCTCCATTCGAGGCATTTATCCTTTTTCTCTCCATAGGAAGGAGACCCTCATAAAAGTATTGCAAAAGAAGCTGCTTAGAAATCCATGTTGTGGTCAACCAACTGTAGATAAACATAATCAAATACATGATAAACATCATTTTAAATATAAAAAATCTAAAATATAATTAAGATAATCATTGAGTTCAAATAGAATACTTAATTAATATCTTAAATAATATTTTATTAAACCAAAAATAAATTAGTTTGTTTTTAAAATTCAATTAAATTATAATAAAAAATCGAATTAAAGAAATTACACAGAAAAAAAAATTTTAAATAGTTAATTTGATACTAATATCGTTTATTTTTATCAAAAATTTATGATATTTTCAAATTTATATTTCATTCAAGAATAAAAATATTTTATTTTTCTCAAAACCACATAAAATTGCATTATAACATTGATAGACCAAAATATAAAACGAAACATTGAAAATTAAGATGTATCTCGCTGCATTGCGCGAGTACCCTTCTAATTTGATTAAATACACTTATAAGTTGACTAAATTACATTTTATATTTATTTAATAAATAATATAATTATCTCAAACATGTGGCTAATATTGGATCTCACGAATCTCATAAGTTTTAAGGGGCGTTTGGTTCATAGAATGGAATTCGATGGAATTGGAATTCATCAAATGAATTTGACTTTGAGGGAATGAAATGGAATCTGATAGAATTTGACCATGCCTTGTGATTGCGTTTGGTTGCATGAAATTGGAATGAAATTCTAAACGGAATTGGATTAGGAAAGGAATTGAAATCCTAGCAAATTGCCATGGAATTGTAAAATCTGTGATTGAAGGAATCGACTGGAATTGAAAGGATTCCATAGTCTTATTCAATGAACCAAACACTTTATTTGAAATTTGGTCAAAAGATTGGATATTCCAATTCCTTTCAATTCTCATAATCCAAACAACCCCTTAGGTTCTCATTAGGTTCTCATTTGATTAATTTCATATATATATATCAAATAATAGAAAACAAAATATATGTATTTATATACTTTGTTTAATTAATTTTTTTAAAACTGAGGTAAATAATGGGTTGTGAAACTTAATCTATTCGTATGAAATGGATGATATAAGTTTTCTAAAACTACTTTAAACTTTCATTTTCATTTACTTAACCAAAAGGTAATAAGAGTTTCCAAAAATATTCAGATTTTTTAATTATCTAAACTTGACCTTATCTTTATTATTATTTTGAGAATAAATTATACTTTTAGTCCATGTGGTTGCCATCATTATCAACTATCATCTTTGTTTTAAACTAATTACGGTTTTGATCATTGTGGTTGCTATTTTGTTTCATATTTGGTCCTCAAAACAAATTTTAGTTAAAAATATTTGTTAACTGAGGGGCATTTTGATCTTTTTAAGATTTCATTGATTTTCAATTAGTAAATTAAACACATAAATAAATAAATATATTATTATTATTATTATTATTATATTAATACAAATATACATATATAGACAAGAAACCTTATAGGCCCAATTCACACGACTATTCTGCCCTTGCCCCCTTTCTCACCGCCCTTCTCCCATATTCATATAAATGCTCTGACAACCTCCTTATGCTACGAAGACCTCCCTAGCCACCTACGTTTTTCCTGAAACGGACCACAACGCAACGACTAGGACTCGTGTCGGAGGACTTTTGAGCGTGAGCTACCACTCATGCAGCGACAAGGACCCGCAACTCTCGAAGAGGCCACCAACCACCCGAATTCGAAAATCAACGAACGCCACCACCGAATCACCATCAGTAAACCCTTCTACATTTGCATGCTTTGAAGACCTCCCCTTTCCCCTCTCAACTAGAGAGTCCACTAGAGAATGCGACCGGAGAGTTTGTCGGACTATGAAGGCATTGAGGGATGGTGGGTTTGGGGTTGCATCAATAGGTTGTACATATGCTTTAAACATCTGTGTATTGAAATTTATTTTTAAAAATTAGAAAAAGACGATAAATCTAACAAAACAAAAAGATTAAAGATGAAAAACAGTAAAAAGAGACAAAAATGTCTACTACTTAATGGATTTTTTTTAACAAAGTTAGTTAGATGGATTAAGGGGATGTTTGGCAATTACTGAATGGTTCGGTGCAAAATGATTAAGTGATCCGAATGATTAAGATACTTTCATGATATAGTGCAAAATAAAATATAATTGTTCGGTAATTGTTTACAATGAAATTAGGACGCTGAATGGTTAAAGAGACACATGATACAAAATCATTCAGAGGGTTTTATAACCATTAAGATGCTGACTTTTTTTTTGCAAATAAGATTCATCTCTTAACGATTCAGAAGTTGTCTCTTAATGGAATTATTAAGAGGTAACCAAACAACCCTTAAATCCAAAACAAAATGATGACCAAATGGACTGAAAATAAAACAAAATAACAACCATAATGATCAAAATTGTAATCAGTTTAAGAAAAAGAACGAGAGTTGACAATGAATGAGAACCAGATGTACCAAAAGTGTAATTTAGTCTTATTATTATATAAAATTTGTATTTTATGTAGACTCCGTTTGCCCTTAATCCCATTGCTATATTTCCCCCGCATTCGTGTCTATCTCGCTTACACCTTCCTATACGCAGTCAAAAAACCCTTCCTTTCTTTGGCGTCTCCGAGCTATCAATCTCTCTCCGATCATCAATGGCCGGCAAGACCGACTTTGATTCTTCCCTCCATAACTCTCAGATCTCCAGAGGTGATTCAATTGACTTTTCGCTTCCGATTACCGGCTAATTCATCTTTAATTTATTCATAATTTCCTCAACTTTGTGGCTTCTTTTCTTAAAACCCTATCTTTCTTGTACAGATTTCAGGGGTTTCTGTATGGGATGAATGTATCTATGTTGAATGCATTTGTTTTTGTTTTCTATGACTGGTTTTTGAACCGCTGAATGTTTGGGATAAGAAATGCGACGGGAATTTATCCTCTTTCTTACGTTTTTCTTTCGTTTTTCAGTTTATGTACTCATTCGTGAACGAAATGTTTTCGAAATTTTATCCTATTGACGATTTGCGCCTACTGTGGCAGTTTTAGGGTTTTGAAACAAACACAAGCTGGAATAATTTATTTTGAAGTTAATTCATTTATCTCGAGTCTATATATCGAGAGCGACAGCAGCTAGTGCTTTATTTGTATTTTCCCTTTTATCATCACTTTGATTCCAGGAGTGAGGTTTCGATTCCGGATACATTTATCATTTTTACACGTTTGCTCACATATTCTGCACTTAATTTATCAGTTTTGCGCTTCTCATGGGCTTTTTTGTATTCGGAAAAAAGGACCTATATGGGGTCATCTGGCAATTTAGGGTCTCTTGTGATCCTGTATCGGGCATGATCTTTATCACTTCATGCTTTATTTATCATCTCATCTCAGCGTTGAGAGCTTGTTTGGTTTGGTTTGGTTTTTCTTGCTAATGAAACAGAGGTGTATTTAGAAAGAATTCACATTTAAAAACTTGATTCTGCTGTTTGTTGCATTTTGATTTTTCACAGAGAGTTGTTTTTACAAATCAGGTACTTGTAGGAATTTGATCCACACCCAGTGTTAAGTTGAGCAAATGAAGTCATGATATGGCTGATCACTTTAGATGTAGGGTTACTTGAAGATCACATTACATTACATGTGTGTTCCATTGCTTGGTCATCTTTGTCTTGTAGTGGTTAAATTGCACTAGTATCATATTTTTTTGTAGAATAGAGGTTATTTTCTCATTTAACTTGGGGATGTTGGATGGACCTATCAGATGAACTATTTAGAAGTCATCTGCTTTGGTAATTCATATCGTTTACCAAACGCTTACCTGCAGTGGCGTATCTATAAACTCAGGTCACTGCAGGTCTGACTTAGGAGTGTCGAAAATTTTTCAAACCGAATAGCCCACCTGAACCAAAATGGTTTCCGGTTATTTGGTTTTCGGGTTAAACGGTTCAGCTTCAGTTATTCTTTTGCTATAACAATTAAACCCAATAAGAAATTGTACCATAATTTTATATATTTTATAACTAGAAGTTGGTTTTAGGCTTTGAGCATATAACACAATTAACGTATCATAAACCATTTTATACTAAACTAAAATAACAGGATCTTGAGAATTGAGATGTACTTAATAATACAAAAAGAACTAGATATTGAGATGCCTAATCTTGAAATGGATTTAACAAAACAATAGACAAAATATTGAAATGAATTTATTTCTTTTTGTTTTGGTAGAAAAAAAATCAATGTATGGGGTCTTATAAAAATTGAATGGGTTCTCTAAGCATAAAACTAAGTAATTTATTGAGGATAAAAAAGTTTTCCAAGTTGAATCTAGTATTTTTTTTGACTGGGGTCAAAGAGACCCCATTGACTTATATCCGCTGCTGCTTACCCGGGTAAGCACTTAAAAGTCACATTGCCTTACCGGATGTTTATGGCAAGGACCAAGAATATTACACGGTAAGAGCGAAGGCAAGGACCAAGAGTCTTACTCAGTAAGTGAGGGCGAAGATTCTTGCCACGGTTAGCGCTTACCGGGTAAATTGTTGCATATGATACCATTTTGGTGGACTAAAATCTTACCCGGTAAGTAAGTGATAGCATAGAATTTTGTCGGTAAGCACTTATTCGGGTAAGCGTTTGGTAAACGGCCCCTTAATGTTGTAAATTTCTTGGCTTATTTATTCTCTTTCACTTGGAGATAGTTTACTACCTCTGGCTTCATTGTACTCTAGTCAGCAAACACCTGCTAGGGACATGTGAACTCGGTGAAGTTGTTTTATGTCTTGTATCTGTTAATGTTATTATAAACCTTTTGAGTCGGTGGTTAATCTGTTCATGAGTGATTATTATTGTATTTGAACTTTTGTGTAGATGAACTCATTGTTCTTTGGATGTTTACTTGTGTAGATGTCCAAGGGTCTGATGGTTCGATTCCATTGTCACCACAGTGGCTTCTGTCGAAACCCGGGGAGAATAAGATGGGAACCATAACCGCGGTGTGTGACAACGCACCTTCTTGTACTTAATTTTTTACCTTTCTAGTTTTGTTTGGAGAATAGTTTGCAAATTTTTTCTCTTCTCTGGTGACGTGTTGCTCCTTTTAGCGCTTTGCTTAGTTGAAGTTTGAACTGTAAAATCTCATGATTGCTTCATTTTTCTGTTATATGTTTTTGGTGCAGGAGGTCCCCACGAGTCCATCTCCAACATTTGGCAATCGTTTGGAGTTCATGAAATCACCTGGAATTGATGACCATGTCCATGATACCCAGAAGAAGAAGGATGTGTTTAGGCCTTCTGTGCTTGATAGCCGCGAGCGCTGGCGTGATGAAGAAAGAGATACAAATACTTTTGTTCGCAAGGATAGGTGGAGGGAGGGTAATAAAGAGCTTGAGGACAGCCGAAAGGTGGATAGGTGGGCAGATAACTCGTCTGGAAGGAACTACGGAGAGTCACGCCGTGCACCATCTGAAAGGTGGGCTGATTTGGGGAATAAGGAGGCAAACCATGATCAGCGCCGTGAGAGTAAATGGAACACACGTTGGGGCCCTGATGACAAGGAAACTGATGGCATGCGTGACAAGTGGACAGAGTCTGGAAAAGATCATGAAATCCCTCATGACAAAGGGTTATCACATCCGATTCATTATGCAAAGGATGAGCGGGAGGGTGACCATCCTCGCCCATGGAGATCCAACTCTGCCCTCAACCGTGGAAGAGTTGAGCCACCTCATTACCAAAGCCCAAGTTCAAACAAGCAGACTCCTATGTTTGTGCATGGTCGGGGACGTGGGGAAAATCCTAATTCAACATTTTCCCTTGGTCGTGGAAGGGGTGTCCCTGGAGGGAGCCCTATGAATAATAGTTCCACCCATTTGCAGTCCTTAGGATCCTTTTCTGACTTGGGTGACAGACGCCAAGATGAGACTTCTCCTACGAGATATAGCAGGACAAAGTTGCTTGATGTGTACAGGACAACTGATATGAAAGCCAGTGGAACAATGTTAGATGGTTCCATGCTAGTGTCTTCACTTACGCAGGAGGAAGCACTGGAGCCTCTTGCACTTATTTCACCTACCCCTGAAGAATTGGTAACCTAAAATCTAGTTGCTCCCTCTTAAAATTCTTAAAGAGTAAATTCTAATATGTTTCTCTTTTGCAGTTTATATTGAAGGGGATTGACAAAGGGGACATCTTAAGTAGTGGTGCTCCTCAAATTACTAAAGATGGATCATTTGGGCTCAACATGGTTGATGTGCAGTCTAGAAGAACCAAGCCTGGTACCGAGAATTTTCATCACAGTTATGTGAATATAATAGTGCATTCATGTTATGATTGTTGTTGAATGTGGCTTTTTGAGCAGGGAGTAGGGAAGATCTACCACTTGCTTCTGACAATTATAAAGATGATACTGCTGACAGTTTCAAAGGTAATTATTCTGATTATTTCGAGGGCTTGCATCATGAGAAGCAGGTGCACTTGTATGAGACCAATTTCAAAGCTGATGTGGTAGAAGATCGCCAGTCATTTATTGATTACAAAGCAAAATCTGAAGGTATATCTTTTAGCGATGCATTTGATTTTGATTCATATCACAAACAATTAGATCAAAGCTGCTGGGTGACATGGTTTCTACAATTGCATAAAATTCTAAATAATAAAATTTGGTGGTTCAAAAAATGGCGTGTGCTTCTACTTCTACAATCTTCCACCAGAAGAGAGACACAGAGAGAGAGAAAGGGAGAGAGAGAGAAAAGGAGAGAAATTATGGCTGTATGTAGGGCTTCCTACTTCTAATTGATTGTATTGTTGTTTTGACTATATGGTCATTTTCAGAGGCTTGAAATTGTGAAACAATGAACATAAGTCATTTTCTGTTTGCAGCAATAGGAGATGGCGGTTTTCATGCAAGGAATGATGACACAGGAAATACTAGAGAATCAAGAGTGCAAGGAACATCAGGTCACCCTGGGGCAACATGGCGATCATTATCCATTGGACAACATGCACAACCAAACTCGCTTGACTTGAGGGACATGTCCACTGACATCAGGTCAAGAGCCTCTGAGGTAGGCTGGTCACAGCCACAGAAGGATACAACCAATGAATGGAGTAGCAGTTTAACAAGTCCATCATATGTCAAAGATGGACTAAAATGGAAAGTGAATGAGAATCCAGTTATTAAAAGGCAACCACCTGGAATTATAGACAGGGAACAAGAAACAAGGTTGCTTTCTCAGCCATCACCTGAAGACCTTGTTCTTTTTTACAAAGATCCTCAGGGTGCAATTCAAGGTCCTTTTACTGGCAGTGATATCATTGGATGGTTTGAGGCTGGATACTTTGGGATAGATCTGTTAGTGCGTCTTGCAAATGCACCACAGGACTCGCCATTTGCTACACTTGGTGATGTTATGCCTCACCTGCATGCAAAGGCCAGGCCACCACCTGGATTTAGTGCTGCAAAACAAAGTGAAATCAACGATGAATCCAGTATGCCCAATTTCATAAGTAGTAGTAAGGTTCAACCAGGCTTGGGTGAGAAGGCCATGATGAAAAACGACCCTAGATTTCAACATGGCTCGACTAAAGAGGCTGAGAATAGGTTTATTGAGTCCCTGATGTCCAGTAACATAAGTGGTGGTCCACTGGAGAAGTTTGGTCTTTCTGAAGGTTGTCTTGATGTTGATTTGGATTTTGAAATATGTGATAATGCTTTTGACAAATCTTCGATTTTGCTATTTTGTTTTATGACTGAATTTGTTTGCTTTACAGGCATGCAGGGATATTTTGGGAACTCTAGCTCAATTCCATCTGTAGGAACAGAGAGTGGGGATAACCTGTACCAATTGGCCAAGCTGATGCAGCTTGAAAGGCAAAAATCTTTGTCTAATCCTTACTCTCTTTGGACTGGGAGGGATGCTGCTATTGGCTCTAAATCCGATATTCTTCAGGAGCCTACCATTCCACAATCAAACATATTATCAGCTGTTGCCGAGAATCTTCGTCAGCAACCTCTACCCCCAAATGCGCCAAACCCTGAATTCATGTCCATCCTACAAGGTTTATCTGATAGATCTACCTCTGCCATGAGCAGTGGAGTTAGTAGCTGGTCAAATTTTCCTGTTCAAGGGTTGGACCCACGTCAGGATAAACTAGAGATGCTTCATGGTAAGCATTTCCCTCTTCAGACAGCCTTTGCAGTCCAGCAAAGGTTGCAAGCACAGAATCTGCCTTCACTATCAAATTTACGCACCCAAGGTTTCGATAATCTTTCTGGTCCACTAACCGCAGAAAAGCTTCTTTCTTCTGGCCTCCCTCAAGATCAAATTTTAAGTTTATTGCAGCAGCAACATATGTCACAGATAAAACCTCAAGCTCCCATACCTACGCAACAGCTGTCGGTATTGGATGAGTACTTGTTGCTAAAGCAGCAGCAACAAAAACAGGAGCAGCTGCAGCAGCAGCAGCAGCAGATAATGCGGCAGCAACTGCTCTCCCATGTGCTCACAGAGCAACATTCTCTGCAACGTTTTGGCGAGCAGTCTTGTGGACCAATGCTGTCGCCCGGGTTGCCTGTTGGGAACTCTTCAGTAGATCATGGATTTTCCTCACATGAGATGTTGCAGATGGGATTACAGAATCAAGTTCCTAATATGCAGGATGTCAACACTACTAACATTGCTCATATGCCTGCAATTGTTACTCCAGTCGACAATCCTTGTGCCGGTTCTGAAGATTCTATACATTTACCCCATCAATTGTTGGGGAATACAACGCAACAAAAGGGTGAGGTTGCTACCGTTCCGGAACGAGGTGATGAGATTGGTCACCAGAAGGAACCTGATGTCCAGGATCAGGCAGTGAAGATTGATTTGAGAACAGATGAAAATCTTAAATTAGCTACTTCTAATGCTGCTTTAATTTCTGAGCCTGCAGACCAGTCTAAAAAATCTTTGGTTATTCCTTCTGTGGGAGCTGTTGATAATGATGTTTTAGGGTCTGCACGTCTTGATAATTTGGAGGTGCTGCCAGTTGGTGTCATTGAGGTGGCAAAGGTTCAGAGCAAACCATCTAATGAAACCTATGGTCTGAAAGAAGCAAAAGATGTTGAAGTTCGTGAGGTTAAAAAATCCACTGAGAAGAAGTTGAAGAAACATAAGTCGTCCAAGGCACAATCCTCTGATGTGGCCAAGGCAGTATCTAAATCACAGCAGACAAAGCAATCCGAAGCTGAAGCGACCAAGATCAATGAGGTTGAACCCAAACTGGTAGCATCTTCAGTAGAAGTTGGAGAGAGCAAACCTAGTGTAGTCACAGAAGATCATGCAAGTATGCTTGGTGATGTCAGCCAAATCTTGGTGAAGCAGAATGAAGTTGGACAGGCAGGATCCATGCCACAAGATAACACACAAGTTTATACTGGTCAACGAGCATGGAAGCCTGCTCCTGGCTTTAAGCCGAAGTCATTGTTAGAAATTCAGCAGGAAGAGCAGCGAAGGGCTCAGGCCCAGTCACAAGCTCAGGCAGAGATTACTGTTTCTGATATTTCAACATCTCTAGGGTCAATGAATATATCCACCCCTTGGGCTGGTGTTGTTGGCAATCCGGACCACAAGTTTGTGGAAAATAAGAAAGATTGGACCAGTTCTGACTTACGAGTTGCAGAGAGTTCCCAAAATCAGAAGAGCAGGAGCCAGTTGCATGATCTTTTGGCTGGAGAAGTGCCTGTGAAATCAAGTGAAAAGAATTCTGCAACTTCGGACAATATCTTTCATTTGCCTACACCGGTAAGTTCTCAGTCAGATTCAATTGAGGAAGGTAATTTTATTGAGGCTAAAGAAACAAAAAAGAGTCGGAAAAAATCTGCAAAGGCTAAGGCTGCAGGAGCGAAGGTTTCTGTGTCTGCTGCTGCTGAGATGCCTGTCAATTCAAGTCCAAATGAGAAAGGCAAACATTCACGTCAGGTGCTACAGGAGAAAGATATATTACCAGCTGTCCCTTCTAGTCCTTCACTGGGAGATTTTGTGGTCTGGAAAGGGGAGGCTGCGACTCCTTCGCCTGCTCCGGCTTGGTCCACTGATCCTGGAAAGTTGGCAAGACACACCTCATTGAGGGACATTCTTAAGGAACAAGAGAAAAAGGTGTCTTCTGGGCAGCATCAAATACCAATGCCCACTCAAAAATCTACATCTGCTCAGTCCAATCGTGGTAATGGGCCTTCATGGTCATCTTCTGCATCATCTCCTGCCAAGGCTGCATCTCCCATCCAAATTATATCACACGGTTCTTCTCAGTCACGAAACAAAGTTGATGATGATCTGTTTTGGGGTCCAGTAGATCATACAAAGCAAGAAGCAAAACGGTATGTTATTCTATCCCCCACTTTATAACATTTTCTATATGTTCATGCCTGTTTCACTTATGGATGATTACATTAACTTCCTCTAGTATCAGGTTTAGCTGTACCCTCAAAATTATGCATATGAATACCTGCATAGCATGTTGTAAGCCATGATAAAGAAGGGCATGTTGAGGCCGCATGAGTCATGAGCTAGTGATTGTGTATGTGTAGCTACTAGAGGAAAAAGAATAAAACAAATATTATATCTAAAAGGGAAAGAGGTAAAGATTTATTGTGGGATCATTCATTCGATCATGCTAGTAGCAATGGAGTATTATGGCTAGTTCTCCTAAAATTTGTCATTTTCTGTCACTGATCATTTTTTTTCCTGATGTAGAGAGGAATTATTGCATTTTTGATTATTCTACTTGCAGTTTTATACTTGTATCTGCTTGCTCATTTATCGTCACAGATTTTTTTTTTATTGGGAGTTAACTATTATTGTTAATCATTGTAGACCAGACTGTTCAGTTTTTCTATTACATATTTTTATTTCTCCTTTGTGTTCTTGATTATTTGGTTTGATGGTGAAATTAACAAGTTTATTAGTTTTTCAACTTTCAGGATACTTGCTGCTTTACATCTTATGAATCTCATGTTGATCTTACTTGTTTTAAGTGGACAACTATATTTACTATAAATTCTTGTAGTTATCAAGTATATCGTTCTTGACTAACCTTACTTGAACCTGCATGCTCATTACAAAGTTGTGTATTTTGTACTATAACTTCCAGAACCTATCTCCTGCATGGTTTGCAACGTGGAAAGAGTGTTTCGATAGTTAATAAAAGCTGAGACCAAATATATGGAGTTGTGTTTATTTGATGAATGTTTAATCAAATTTCTGTATGTTTTAACTAAATTTTCAGATTTTCTGAAGAACTTCATATTGACCTTCCTTGTTTTAAAGATTTTTACGTTGAAGTCCACTAGTTGCCAAGTATATTTCATTATGAAGTTGTATATATGCAATGACATCCATTTCGCATCTCTGTGGTGGCTGAAAAGAGTGTGTTGAGAGGAACTTTTAAGCTCAAAAAGAATGGATGGAGTCTTGCTCTTCTGATGAATGTTCTCAATCAAATTTCCAGATGTTTTGTGTATATTAGTTTCGTATGCTTTTGTCATGAATTATGCATTGGTCTCGTCATGTTCAACTTTCTATCAGGCTATCAGCAGTAGGTTATAGATGTCAATCTCTATCACTTGTCATCAAGTGCTTTTCATCAGAAACACCTAGACAGACAGACTTATGATGATTTAGTTACTAGAGAATGTTCTATATCTTTTCATGTGATTGCATGCCATCATTAGAACACCAGTTAGTTTTGCCTTAAGAATTCTTGGTTTTGTGTTGATAACAAGTATGTCAGTTTAATTTGGGCAACTGTTCCGTGAAGCATAATGCAGGCCTATATCTTTAATTTTATGGTGTCTGTGTTTTTGTTGCTGCACTTCAATCATTTGTGAACATTTTTTATGCTTCCAGGTCAGATTTTCCTCAACTTGCAAATCAAGGCAGTTGGGCTAAGAGCACTATGGGAAAAGGAATTTCTGGTGGGTCTATAAGCCGGCAGAAGTCTGTTGGTGGCAGATCAGCTGAAGCACCCCTTTCCTCGTCTCCTGCTTTGAAAGGGAAAAGAGACGTGCTGGCTAAACATTCAGGTAAAATTGACTTGACTTGACTTGAGATAATGCTGCCAGCCAGCCCAGCCAAGCCAAGCCATACCAAGCTTGCATATAATTATGTACTTGTGATTTTTCAGAAGCTATGGACTTCAGAGATTGGTGCAAGAGTGAATGTGTGAGGCTTCTAGGAACAAAAGGTATTGCAGAATTTGAAATTGTAGCTCTACCATGAAGTTTTGAAATATTCTTCGAATTTGATTCACAACTTGCATGTATTGCATAATGATGCTTTTACTGGAAAATTAGAGAGTTTTTGAGTAAATAATTGGTATTTTGTTTTTGTCAGATACAAGTTTTCTGGAGTTCTGCTTAAGGCAATCTAGATCAGAAGCAGAGGTACTGCTGAAGGAGAATCTTGGGTCTTATGACCCCGACCATGAATTCATTGAGAAATTCCTCAACTACAAAGATTTTCTACCGACAGATGTCCTGGAGATTGCGTTTCTGAGTGGGAATGACGAAAAGGTGGTGAGTGGAGATGTGAATGATGGATTTTGGGATCCGGAGAGTAAAAGAGTGGCGGCAGATGGCGGTTCGGCCAAGGGAGGAGGGAAGAAGAAAGGAAAGAAAGGGAAGAAGGTGAGCCCAGCAGTATTAGGTTTCAATGTGGTGAGCAACAGGATTATGATGGGAGAGATTGATACTGTGGAAGACTGACCAAGTTATAAGGACTCTTTAAGGTAAGGTAAGGGTTGCTTTGTTTTGTTTTGTTTTGTTTTGTTTTGTTTTTTTATTTTATCTTTTTATAATTGTAGTTGTAAATACTTTTGTCCCAAAAGAGAGAGAGGGAGATAGAGAGAGAGATAAAGAAAGAGAGGGATGTGTGTACATGATGATATTAATTTTGAAGTTTAGGGTTTTGTTGGGTGGTTATAGGAGCTATAATACAATTAAAAAACTGCTCCACCAATTTTGTGCTATTACTAGTGAAGAATCCATATCCTACTTTCTTACTTTATTTCTACCTTTCATTCTTGCATGTATCATTAACTGGTTTAGCTTCCCTGGGGCCGCAGCGCAACAAGACTTTTCACGAGCTCTAAGATTTCTGAGTTCGATTTCACGAGTCTTGAGATTTTTGGTTTCGATTTCAAAATGAAGGGTGATGGTCGGCAATGTTTCAGATCTTAGATGAAGGATGGTGATGTGTGGGGTAGGGGAACCGAAGACGAATGTGGGTATCCTCCCGCCGGAGATGGAGTCGTTCGAGGTTAACACACAATCTAATAATCTAAACCAATACTAGGTGAAGAAGTTAGTGTCACCATGAAATTCAAAAGAATTCTATTCAATATGTGACACTATGGATCTTTAAAAGTAGTATCTACAAAAATGTCCCTAATGGCAATCAAACCTTGGGAGCCGCATTACCAAGAGATCCTAATATTCTTGTCATTTAAGTAAAAGTTTTAGACTTGATGACTTATGAGTTCAAACAAATCTGTAAGTAAAGTTAGAATCATGAAATCGGGAATGTAAAGCTTAAACAAGTAAAGAGTTCAAGGAATTTCAACAAGAAGACAATAAAATCAATAACACATCTCGCGATGACGAGGGAGACCCGATTACCATTGATTGTGGCGGAACACAAAAGTGGGTCACGAATCCATGTTATAGAGCTTCTATCATGGGACATTGGTCATCGAGTTCAACCACTCACAGTCTTTAGTCCAATGAACTAAGATATGTTCCTTTGTGTAACACTTTAAAAATGGGACAACAAAAATTTCCAACTAAACCGGAAATGTGATATTAAAATAGCAAGATGCAAGCCTACCCAAAAGGGGAAACTTAAATACGCATGTTAAATTACAATCTGTAACAATTGGTCATGAGGATAATAACCTCCTAATCTAATTTTTTTAAAAGAAATAAGATTACATTTGAGTGTCACCTAAACCACCAAAATAATGTCAATAGTTGGTGTCTCAAAAATATCCCCTAAACTCTCTCTCTTACGAATCAATCAAATCTTCTTGGCGACTACGCCACTAGAACCTGAGATACATGCTGACACCAAAACAAGTGTGAGGCCAAAAAGTCTAGTGAGCATGAACAATAAGTAGGCAGTTGTAATATAATTAGTTAGAAATCGTTTGTAAGACAGTACAACATTTAGGTGGAATCAATGGGGAGATCCATATCCATTGAGAGTGACAAGAACACAAAAGTATGTTACTCAAACAACGTTGTCGCATAACACTTCAAGACTTATAGTCTAAGTGTCCTAATGACTACTTAACAAGTTTTACCTTAAGAGCCGGTTTTCCTTATTCTATTTTTGCGAATTCCACCTCAAGACTCGGCACACTTAGTGTCTACCCCAAAGGTAACACCTCAAGCGGCGGAGGTCTTAGTGTCTACCCCTAAAGTAACAACTCAAGACTCAACCCTCCTAGTACCTACTTGGAAAGTTTCATCCAACATATAACTCAATGAAATATCCAACTAATCCACATTTAGATAACCTTTCATCTATTAAGCCACATGAGTTATTAAATACCATCATAAGATAATTCAAGCTCATAAGACTAATATTTATAGACAAAGTCCCAATCTTTGGTCAAAATCCCAACAAGTACGATTTTCGACATAAATATCAAGGTGATGAATCAAAATTCATACAAACTATCGCATTAGACATTTAGTTCACAAAGATTCATTAATATGACCACAATATGAAGATTTGCCCCAAAATGCTCTAAACTTCATCAAAATATGAACATAAGATCAAATCACCAAATAGTTGTACAATATTTGAAATTAAAGCTTGTAATAACATCAAGGAACACGACATCATTGTGACTGTTACAGTTACAGATGTAAGGGGTCGGGTGGTTTATTTGGCCTCCGCCTAGTTATGTATCTAGTTTTACAAATCATTTAAAACTCATCTGCTAGGTTTTTAGAGAAAACCTAGAAAATCAAGCAATACTCTAGAAATGGAGGTTATGAACTTGAATCTTGACCCTAGCTTGAGATCTTGACTTGAAAACCCTTAAATACTTGAAAGGATTCGTTTGGGTCTAGAAGGAAAACCCTAGCAACATTGATGAAGGAGAAAGGAGGAAGATAAGAGGAGTAAATGTAACAATAAGCTAAAAATCGGCATTTATGGTGATCTGGGCATGCCTGGCGATTGTGACATGGGCACTTTTGCAAGTGCTATCGCTCGGATTGTATCGAGAGATCCCCCATGCTAGCGATCTTGACATCTATTTTGCCCAGGTGTCACTATTGCTGGGCACAATATCCTCGTTTGTATAGAAAGTTTTCCTCCCAAAGCACCCTCTAGAGTCCCTTGTCTTGCTCAACATGCTAATCTAGTGCAACCCCACTACCTACCAAATACCTTATTTTTGATAAACAAAGGATGAAACAACCATAACTATAAAGCTTAGGAATTTTACTTACTTTTAAATTTTTCGGGCGTTACTATTTGCTAGAATGGAATCACTATGGGTCACACGGTCATTGAGTTCAACCACCCACAGTCTATAGTTCAAGTTCCCGGTGATTCAACGCCCGTATCTGCTACATGTCTCATCTTACATACATAAAAAGAAGCAGAGTTTGGTCCCAACTGAGGAAATACCAAACCAGAATAATGACAAACTATTAGATGATTTTGATGACGTCATACTAAGCTAAGATTTTAGGTAACATCCGTCTCTCTCATCTCTCTCATACATAGACATACTTACATATAGAAGTACACACTTGCAATGCACCCGGAATCCACAACTTGATTTTACACTACACACGGCCTCTACACTTGGACTCGAGAAATTCCAGTGAAACTACTGTATTGAATGCAGGTGATGAACTTGTTCAGGAATAACAGAGACTCGAGAGATGATAATCGATTTTTTCACATATATTTATATCTAAACATGCATCCTTATGTTTTATTTTGGGATTTTAGATCCAAAGCTCAAGGGCCTTTGGACTCGATCCACACTCATGAGAACAAACAGAGACACGAACGACATTCATTACGGCTAGTCGCTAGAAAACCCACCGAGGACACTGCCTTCTATCAGCAAAGGTAAAAAAAATGGAAAAGGAGGGATACAACAAACCATAAATGTGGTGGTTCGAAAGGAGTTAAGGGATAAAGCTTGTACGCAAATAACAAGGTGGTTTTATGATGCCGATATTCCTTTTAATGCCACTACTTATGATAGCTTTAGCGTAATGATTGAAGCTATTGGCCAATTTGGCCCTGGAATGAAACCACCAAGCATGTATGAGCTAAGAGTCCCTTTACTCAACCAAGAAGTAAAAATCGTTGAAGAAGAAGTAAAGGAACATAAAAGGGAATGGGCCCAAAAAGGTTGCTCTATTTTATCGGATGGATGACAAGATTCGGTTGTCCAAAAAGACATAATTAACTTTATGGTGAACTCTCCAATGGGTTCCATATTTGTGAAGTCTATGGATGTTTCCGATGTCTCTAAAGACGCAAATTTGTTGTTTGGGATTATTGATAAAATGGTGGATGATGTTCGAAAAGAAAATGTAGTCCAAGTGATCACCGATAATGCATCCGCTTACGTTAAAGCGGGTAAGAGTTACTATTTTAGTCTATTCCTAATTATATATTAATAATATTATATATGTAATAATAATATGTATTGTCACCTAATATTTTTATTTTAAACTTGAAAGGGAAGATGCTAGAAGCTACGAGAAAACATCTTTATTGGACTCCATGTGCTGCCCATTGCATAGATCTTATGTTAGAGGATATTGGGAAACAAATTCCTCGCATGAAAAGTTGTTTGAAGAAGGCAATGTTCGCTAATGGATACATATACAATTTTGTTGGTTTAGTGAACTTGATGCGGAAGTTCACGAATCAAAGGAACTTGCATAGGCCCGCAATTACAAGATTTGCTACATCTTTTATCACTCTTCAATTTCACAATCAAAAGAATAACTTGAGAAAGATGATTACTTCTCAAGAATGGATGGATAGCAAATGGTTAAGTGAACAGAAGGGAAATATGTTGCACACCTACATCTTATAAGAGACATTTTGGAGGAATATTGTGTATGCTCTCAAGTTGACGGGCCCTCTTGTTAGTTTTCTTAGGTTAGTTGACGGGGAAAGAAAGCCGGTCATGGGTTATATTTATGAAGCCATGGATAGGGATAAGGAGGCTATTGCTAAAAGCTTTCCCAATCAAGAGGACCTTTACAAGAAAACTTTTGAAATAATTGATCATCGGTGGGAATGTCAACTCCATCGACCATTGCATGCCGCATGCCATTACCTAAACCAGTCTACTTTTTATGATAATGCACACAGGATTATAAGTTGTGAAGAAGTCATGGAAGGTTTACATTCTTGTATTTAAAGGTTGGCTCCAAGTCCTCAAGTAGAAGACCTAATCTTAAGAGAATTAGGCAAGTATCAAAATGCGGCAGGGCTATTTGGTAGAAATGCGGCTATTAGGAAAAGGAAGACAATGGCACCAGGTAATCATCTTAAATTGCAAATATATTTTTATACTTGCACACTATTGATATTTTACTTTTTAAATATTTGTTCCTTATAGCGGAGTGGTGGACAAAATTTGGATCTTCATCTCCCAACTTGCAAAAGTTCGTTATATGAGTTCTTAGTCTTACTTGTAGTGCTACAAGTTGCGAGAGAAATTGGGGTGTGTTTCAACATGTAAGTGTCGTACATGATGTTATAAATTCGTTATTTGATTTTAAATATATGAACTAATATCTAATTCAACTTTTGACAGCTTCACATCAAGAAGCGGAATAGGTTAGCACAAGAAAGATTGAATGACATGGTCTATGTGAAATTCAGTCATGCCTTTCAACATCGATATAAAAAAGAGGGAAGTAGTGATCCTATCATTCTAGAAGACATAGATGAAAGTAATGAGTGGTTGATGGGAGGATGGACATTGATGATGAAGATGATGATTTGGTG